CTAAAACAATAATAATAACCTGAAAGGTAAAGTTTGCTAGCTTGAAGAAATTTTCTAGTTTTGTCTTTAGTAGTTTTGAGAGAGCTCCTCTATCAATGAGAATGCATTGACTGGTGACAAGAAGGAAACAGTGCAGATATTTAGATGTTCTTATTCTGAAGTACAATTTTATAAAAAGTATTTTAAGGGTTTAGAGCAGGCGTCCTCAAACTACAGCCCGTGGGCCACATGTGGCCCACCGAGGACATTTATCCAGCCCACTGGGTGTTTTTGCCACCGCTACCTGTCCTGCTTAGCAGCCGACTCGTCCCAGGCCCACAGTGCGCAGCAGTCTCCAATGGCCCTTTAACAGTCTGAGGGACAGTGAACTGGCCCCCTGTTTAAAAAGTTTGAGGACCCCTGGTTTAGAGTTAACTGGCAAAAAAAAAAAAAAAAAAAAAAAAAAAAAAAAAACCAGAAAGGACTATGTGGTTCTTTTTTAAAATATAAAGGCCCCCTTTTAGTGTATGTGTATGTATGTATGTATACATTGTGTATAAAAAATATTCCCCAGAAATAATACATGATAATAATAATGAGATAACAATCATTGAGCACTTATGAGACAGACCCAGTTCTAAGTGCTGTAGATGTATTAACTCATTTAATGCATTAACCCTACAAATAGTAGGTTTAATTATCTCTATTCTACAGATGAAAAACTGAGTCAGAGAAAGAAATTAAAAAACTTAGTCAAGGTCACATAGTTGGTCAGTAGAAAGGCAAGGATTTAAAAACCTGAATCAGGCAGTCTGGGTGGAGTCAGCACTCTTCCTTAATTAACATATAGTTGTATATTAGCAGTCAACAATTAAGAAAACATATAATGGCTGGGCACAGTGGCTCACACCTGTAATCCTAGCACTCTGGGAGGCTGAGGCAGGCAGATCGCTCAAGGTCAGGAGTTCAAAACCAGCCTGAGCAAGAGCGAGACCCTGTCTCTACTAAAAATAGAAAGAAATTAATAGGCCAACTTAAAAAATATATAGAAAAAATTAGCCTGGCATGGTGGCACATGCCTGTAGTCCCAGCTACTCAGGAGGCTGAGGCAGAAGGATTGCTCAAGCCCAGGAGGCTGAGGTTGCTGTGAGCTAGGCTGACACCATGGCACTCTAGCCCGGGCAACAGAGTGAGATTCTGTCTAAAATAAAAAACCATATGATAACCTAATATAGAAGCAAAACAGTGAACTCAGTAATACTTAAATGAAACCGTATATTATGAATTGAAATGGCACTCATTAAAGCTTCATATATTGCTTTAGCAAAATGATAGTGTGTTGTATGAATATGGATTTAAAGATCCTTTGTAGCAACTGAGAGTCCCTCAGTGGTCCACTGCTTACAACTTGAGAGCCACCTAATGAGAAAATAAGATAAAATATAATCAAAGGATATTATGCAAAAGACACTATTGCAGAGCTCTGAGAAGCAAAAGAAACTTTAAGGAAGTTTAGGCGAAGTGGGGAAATGAAAAAGCATTTTAGTTAGCATTAAGGGAATGGAAATAGGAATAAGCAACTCGGGTTTTTGAACAGGGAATAAAAACAGTACTTTGTGATCTGGCAGGAGTCTGTAAAAAGAGAAAGAAACCCCATTTAGATGTTTATTAAACTAATAATAGATTAAGTAAGAAATGGTATATTTTACAACCATACAAATGGATAGAAAAAGATATGCTGGAGTAATCTCTTAAAGCAAATAGGTTTCTAGTGACTAACACATGTACAGGATAAAGGACATAGGAAAGTTAAAGTGACTCTAATGGTAAAAGGCATGAAAAACAGTGGTGCCACTGACCCAAACATGGTGAGAGGATATGGTCGTGTTGAATTTGAGAAGATGATAAGCACAATGTGTGAGGAATTTTTTCCCCAGGCAGCTAGAAATACAACTGTGAGATCTAGGTCAGTAGTCATGTCTTGGGATATGGATCTATCTCTAGATTATATACAGTATACCTATAAATCACTAAAGGTCTAAGTGTGGCCAGTTTTTCTAAAGGGGGTGGGGAAGAGCATGACAGAAAACCACCATAATTAGGAGTGTGTGGGAAGAAAGAGAGAATAATAATTTCAGAACGAAAGGGACCTAGAGGTCATTAATCCTCTGTTTTTACAGTGAATCAGAGAGATAAAAAAAACACCAAGGCCAGAAAGGAAGTGGTAGAGCAGAAACAGAAAGCCAGATAACCTCTAGAAGGCTGGCAATTCTCAAGGAAATTCTATTTGTCAGTAGACATTTCCTCTAAGTAAATAAATATAAATTAAAACAATATTCACAACTGTTTCATTACCTTAGTAATATCGTCAGTTCCTCCAGCAACAGATTTTGATTTGAGTTCTTCAATTTCTTTCTCTAATTCTAAACAATTGTAAATGATTCCAGTTCAGAAATGAAGAAAATAATTACTGAGAAACTCTTAAATACATTTAAAAAACCCCCTCCAAAACCTACAAATTAAGAATATTTGTAAGAAGCAGACACTTTGAGGAAGTATTAGCTTCACAGAATAATATTACCTTTTCTTTTCCTTTTCATTATGGAAAACTTCAAACAAATAGAAAATTAAAGGGAATAGTATGATTAATCTCTATTGCACTCATTCCTATGCTTTAGCATTATTACATAGCCAATTTTGTTTTCTCCCAACCAGTACTCATGTTCTTTTTCCCTGCTTTTCTTACCCATCCTGATAATTTTGAAGCCTATCCCAGACATCATATTATTTCAGCTGTAAATACTTCTTACTGTATAATCTTAAAGCAACAACTAACCCCATATTAAGCATGTTAATCTAAATATTTCATCAACACATGTCTACATCTTGTGTAGACATCTTTCCAAATAAATTATTCTCTTTATCACAAGATGATCCAACCTCTCAAAACATAATTTGTCCTTTTCTAGTACAAAGTCAGTCTTTATTTTTAGGTTTAGCACTTAAGATTTTGTAAGTCATTGAAAATTCAAGAGCTCGAGCATGTATAATAAAACAGCAAAAGAAACTGAACAGGGAATCAATCAACTTTATCAGATAAATATACTTCAAATTTTCATGAATGGAAATCTTTTATTACTTAACTTGAGGACTCCTTTTTTTAAAAAATCTCTTTGGGCTTATAACTTTGTGTCTCTAACATTTCAACTGACTCCTCTAGAAAAAAACATTTTACTCAGAAGGATCTAAAATCCTTCTGAATGAAGGGAAAAAATGCTTAACTTTAACAAACTTTTAAAATCTTCCTCCCAGACTTTATTTTAATAACCCAAAGGTAACTGCTGTTTAGAGATGTGGGATAATTAAAAAATCAGACATATATGGTTAGAATGTTAAGTAATAACAGATTCTACCAAATTGTCTAAAATGTATTAGGAATCACAGGGGGGGGAGGGGTAGTAGGTAACAGACCAATGCAGTATTTTAAAAAACTATGATTTTAAACCATGATTAAATAAGATTGTGGCCAAGGTAAATATTTTCAACCCCAATACCTGTACACCTTGATTTAGCTTTCTGTATTAGCATCATCTGCTTCTTGGCAAACTTGATTAGATCTTCCTTGGGCAGTGTTTCCAGCTGAAAGATGTGGTTATGTTACCATCTTGTTATAACTCATGCTTCTAGTGTATCACAAAAGAGAAACATAAGGTCTGCCTAAAAATAAAAACATTCTACTGAATATATCTTTATGCCAACCAAACACCATATTTTGTTCCACATTTTTAAAAAATTAACAAATGCAACTTCAACTCAATAATTACTCGGTCTCAGTTTTCTCATCTGTAAGATGAGGATAACAACAGTATCTTATCTCATGGTTACCAGGAAGCTTAAATGAAGTACCCTAGTTAGTACTTAGGCAAATGCCCAAAACTTGGCACACAAACAATAAACCTCAGCAATAAACCACTATCTTTCTGAATCACTGAATGTTAAACAACCTACAAGGCCAAAAGAATTAACTAAATTAACTCTCTTTTACAGTGTAGGAACTGGAGCCTACAGCACTGTCTCTTGATTTCTACCCTGTGTCACTGCTCTTTCCACCACACCACCATATAAACATTCATAAATTAGACTGCTTTGTTTAATATTTGAAAAATTGCAGGATCTCTCAGCAGTGTGAACTAGGAGCAGGAAGTAAACAAAAAGTCAAGTCTTTTCCATATCAGGAGACTTAGAAAAAAAAGAAAGAAGGAAACAGGAAATAGATGGGTGACTGTGTAAATCAAAACTGAGATCCCTTGGAGTAGGGCTATTTTTTAGACACAGGCCACCCCTCTTCCTATGCCAAAGTTTTCCAATTCATCATCCTTCCATTCTTCCGGGAGTCTGCTAGTCAAGTATTCTCTTCACCTTAGATTTCCCGGGCCCAGGGGTGGCTGGTGAAGCCACCCCATCTTGAACAGGGTCCTGCAAAACAAAATCAAACCCAGGTGTCAGAAGAACTCTTTTCCTATTCATAATTCCAGACGGAACGCGTGGAATCTTACAGGTATTAATAAAAACCCTTCGGTGGAATGAAGTGGAGGAAAGCCTTCTAAATGAGAAAGAGAATAAGGGCAGTGACTGTCACCGCGGAAAACCGTACCCACCAGGCTCTAAGGGGACAGGTAATCGTAGGGACAGAGTATGCTGAAGGTGAGAGGCGGGCACTGAGGGGGAGGATGCCGTGCCCTCCCGCGGGGCCCACTCCCGCGTCCCGCATCTCGGCGCGGAAGGCACGGTGAGTGGGCCCGACCCCAGCCCCAGCCCGGCCGCCCGCGCCGTGTTACCTCCATCGCCTCGCAGCCGCTGCGGCCCCGCGCCCCCGCAGCTCCGCCGCCGTCGCGGTAGCTCAGGTGTCTGCACCCACCTCTGACGTCGCCTCGACTGCAGGTCAAAGGTCGCGCTCTCCGGGACGGCCCCGCCCCCCGCATCTCCATGGCTACGGCCCGGCGGTGCTTCCGCTTCCGCCTCTGCGTCCGGGAGGCGGTTCCCCGTACGTGGCCGGGCAGCCAGGCGCTGCCACAGTCCCAGGGACTGAGCAGGGTGAGCGCTCCACAACCGTGGGGCGGTGGGTTGCAAGCTGGGTTTGAAGTCTGCCACTGCCGTTTATTGTCAGTGGGAACGTGGGCAGGTTACCTCTCCGGGCCTTGGTTTCCACATCTGTAAAATCTTGGAAAGGTGATGAGAACATTGTATTGGAGTACAGGTCTCCCCAAAAAAGGTGTCCACCAGTCTCCTCCCTAACATCTATTTCTCTTTGACAGTTTATAGCGCCCCTGCTGTTTGTCTGGGATTGGTTCTGGGATGGTATGTGATCTAAGATGTACATACATACAGTGAGGAGGTTTGGAATTCTGTTAAATAATCTGGTTCAGTGATAATGTTTTCTCTTTCTTTGGATATGATTGAAGAAACATACAGCCCTCATTGCTGTTGGCAGACATTTGGCTCTACTCTAGAAGGCAGCCTGAGGGCGAAATTGATAACTGGGAAGAGGCAGAGCCCAGGCAGCTGCAGAGGAATGAAGCTGGAGTCCTGATCAAGGATCAGAGAGTCAGTAAATTCCTTTTATTAAGTGAGCCAGTTAGCATTGAGGTTTGCTGTTACTTGTAAAGCATGCACATATTTTGGGAGGAAGAGTTTTCCAACTTGAAGAAAAATTCTCTCTGTAAAGAGATGGCTTGAGAAAATGTCCATAAACCTGGACATTGTGCAATGTTGTAAAATGGATAACTTTCCTACTGGACTAGAAAAACAATCCCAGACAACTTTTTAGAAAAGTCACTCTTAAGAGCCACCCAAAATTGTAATATTTTTATGGCAGCAAGTACTATTAAAGAAGAGTGGATAAATGATATGGCAGATAGTATTGGAAAAATTCAAGACTTTGAGCAGTGTTAGAGGAAAAAGAGGATCATCTGGTGTCTCATCTCCATCAAGTGCATTATCTGTATATAGCAGGTACTCTATGAATACTTAATTGAACCTATTAATTAATTAATTAATGTAGAAAAGAACTTAAGATCACCAGTTAATTTTTTCCAGGTTTTGAGTAAGCTTAAAGTGGAAACTTAAGCGATATTTGTTCTATCTGTTGATATAAAGAGAAGTATAGCATGTTTTTCCTTTCAGTATAGAATTCAGTTGAGGATCAAGTATTGCATTTAATTGTCATATCTCTGCAGGCTCCTTTAATCTGGAGCATTTCCACAGCCTTTCTTGTTTTTCTTATAAAATTAACATTATTGAAGACTATAGTTCTCCCCACCTTTTATTTTATTTTTTCAATTAACACATAGTAAAATGGACTTTTTGGCATGCAGTTCTTTGAATTTAATACATATATAGACTCTTGTAACCACCAGCACAATCAGGTTACAGAAAAGCTCTGTTATGCCCCCAAATCTCCCGCACTAGTCCATTATAGCCACACTCTCCTTTCATATCTAATTTCTGGAATCCATGACCTATTATTCATCACTGTAGTTTGGTCTTGTCATGAGTATCACATAAATGGGAGTTTTAATGGAAAAAAGCAAACTCTGTAAAATAATTTGAAAAAATTTATTCTGAGCCAAATAAGAGTGACCATGGCCTGGAACTGCACAGTCTCAAGAGTGCCTGAGAAAATGTGCCTGTGCTGGTTGGGTTACAGTTTGGTTTTTATCTACTCATGGAGACAGGAATTGCATATAAAATCATAAATCAATATGTGGAAAATATACCTTGGTTTAGCTGAAAAGGCAGGACATCTCAAAGTGGGAGGCTTTACAGGTTATAGGTGGATTCAGAGATTCTTTGATTCGCAAGTGGTTAAAGAAATGAAGCTTTGCCTAAAGCTTAGAATTAGAAGAAAGGAATGCTTGAGTTAAGATAAGGAGGTCTTGGGACTACAAACTAGCGCAACCTCTGTGGAAAGCAATACGGAGATATCTTAAAGAGATACAAGTAGATCTACCATTTGATCCAGCAATCCCATTACTGAGCATCTACCCAAAAGAACAAAAGACATTCTATAAAAAGGACAACTGCACTTGAATATTTATAGCAGCACAATTCACAATTGCAAAGATGTGGAAACAATCCAAGTACTCATCAATACATGAGTGGATTAATAAAATGTGGTATATGTATACCATGGAGTACTATTCAGCTATAAGAAACAATGGTAATATAGCACCTCTTGTATGTTCCTGGAAAGAGCTGGAACCCATTCTACTAAGTGCATTATCCCAAGAATGGAAAATTCTCATCAGCAAATTGGTTTCACTGATCAACACCTAAGTGCACATATGGGAATAACATTTATCGGGCGTCAGGCAGATGGGAAGGAGAGGAGGGGTACTTGTTAAAGACTACAAAATGCTTAGGGGCAGAGCCAGTGCCAGCATCTGAGGATTCTTGACCTTAAGTGCTATGCCTTTTCCTCCATGACACAAAAATATTAGCTGCATGAACATGCTCTAGCCAGCTTGCATTATATTTTAATTAATTAAGTAAATTTTATAACACTTTTCAAATATCTATGGTTCTTAGGTGTTCACACTGGTGGATTCTAGTTTCTATCTGAGCCTCTATGCATTTAGTATGTGAGGTTATATAATTATTTTATTAGTTTTCTAGGGCTTCCTTTACAAAGTACCACGCCACAGACACAGTGGCTGAAACAACAGAAATGTATCATCTCATAGTTTTGGAGGCTAGAGATCCAAAGGTGTTGGCAGGGTTGGTTCCTTCCGAGGGTGTGAGGGAAGGATTTGTCCCTGGCCTCACTCCTCACTCCTTATGCAGTTTTTCCAGGAATACCAGTGAACCTATGTTGTATCATGTCAGGAAACGTATGCCAATATCTCTCCATGCCATATGCTGATGTTAACCGTGACCATTTGGTTAAGGTAGTGTCTACCAGCTTTCTTCACTACAAAGTTACTTTTCCCCTCTTGTGTGTGTGTGTGTGTGTGTATGAGAGAGAGAGAGAGAGAGAGAGAGAGAGAGAGAGAGAGAGAGAGGGGCTCTCACTCTGTCTCCCAGTGACATCATCATAGCTCACTGCAACCTCAAACTCCTGGGCTCCAGTGATCCTCTCGCCTCAGCCTTTCAAGTAGCTGAGACTACAGGCATGTGCCACCATGCCTGGCTAATTTTTAAGTTTTTTGTAGAGACAGGGTCTCACTATGTTGCTCAGGCTGATCTAGAACTCCTGGCCTCAAGTGATCTTCAAGTGCTGGGATTACAGACATGAGCTACCACACTCAGCCTTCCTTTGTAATTAATAAGTATCTTATGGGAGATTCTTTGACACTATATAAATATCCTGTGTCTCATTAAACTTTCGTCCACTAGTTTTAGCACCTCCTGACAAGTCTTGTCTGAAATACTTATTACTCTTATGATGAGTTTTTGATTTCAGCATTCTTCCTACATTTATTGGTCATTCTACTGCAGGAAAGAGCTTTCCCTCTCCTCTGTTTATTTATTTGCTTATTTATTAATTTATTTATAATACTGTGAATTCATGGATTCTTATTTTATTCTATGAGTTATAATTTATTATTAATACAATTTATTTCGATGTTTGAATTGAACCAGATTTGACCAGTGGGAGAGCTTTCAAGTTTTCATGTCCTTTTTACATTTACATACTTTTCTCATTTTCTGGCATAAAAAGATATTCTAGGTTAACCTTATACTTTCCCTGCCCCAGTCCTGGAATCAACCATTTTTCTGAGGAGCTCTGGTGCCTTTAATGAAGTGTGGTATTTAAAAACCTGGAGCTGGGGAAACAGTGTGCTCGCTGCTACTGGGTATCATTGCCTCTAGTTGCTCTCAGCCTAGAAGAGGAAGAACTAGGGAATATTTGTATGTGTGTATATATGTGTATGTATATACAGGTATGTATAAGTATATACACATTGTGGTACACATAAAAAATGCTTCCCTATGTCCTAACCCTGGAACCTGTGAATATATTACCTTACATTCAAAAGGAACTTTGCAGATGAGGTTAAGGATTTTGAAGTTGGAAAATTATCCTGGCTTATTTGGTGGGCCTGGTTGTAGCACAGCATCCTTATAAGAGGAAGAGAAGAAGTCAGAGAGGAGAGAAGATGCTGGCTTTGAAGACAGGGGAAGAGGGCCACAGCTAAGGAATGTAGGTAACCTCTAGAAGCTGGAAAAGGTGAGGAAACAGATTGTCCTCTGAAGTCCCCAGAAGGTACTGCCAAACACCTTGATTTTAGACTTGTGGCCTCCAGAACTGTAAGAAAATAAATTTGTGTTGTTTTAAACCACTGCTTGTGGTAATGTGTTACAGCAGCAATAGGGAACTAATACAGAAGTAAGAAATATATGTATATGTGTGTATTTATACATGTTTGCATATTTAGGTGTACACACACACACACACACACATTGGTATCTATTATTTATGTAGTAAAAACTATGAGTTTATACTGATACCTAAAATTCCATTTTAACACCATAGGGATTATTCTGGCTTCCCCCTGTGAGAGGGAAAAAAACAAAGTTTTTTTTTTTTTCTTTTTCTATTCTCTTACTCCACAATAACAATCAACACAGAAGACTTCTGTGACCAAATATGTGTGTGTTTTCCCCCACAGGCTAAGCAGCAGACACCAGCTAGGTGTCCTCTAATTCAATTCATTTCTGACACTATTTACTTGGAGATAGCCTCAGATCCCACAGGTTGAGGGGGCTGTCCCCAGATTGCCCCCGCCTTCAAATGCCAGTCGCAACTCTGGGCCTTTGGAACTTCTGACAGATTGACTCCAAATTGGGGTTCCCATATCCCCATCTTTGGATTTGATTAATTTGCTAGATCAGCTCACAAAACTCAGGAAAACATTTACTTAGATTTACCAGTTTATTACAAAGGATATTTTAAAGGATTGGGCGAGGTCTGGAAAGGCGCTGAGCACAGGAGCTTTTGTCTCTGTGCAGTTGGGGTGTGCCACCCTCCTGGCGTGTGGATGAGCTCTCGTTACTTGCCTGGACGCTCTCTGAACCCTGTCCTCTTGGGCCTTTTATGGGCATTCTGTTGGGCAGACATGAATGAATATGGACAACTGTGTCAAAATGTGAGTGGACATAAAGGCTATGATTCGATGCATTTAATAGACTGGGGAAATGCAAGTCCTGTCCAGATTCTTTTTGATCTCTCTATGCAGCCTTCCTTCCTCTGGGGAATGGGACAGGGCCCTCTCTGGAATGAGGGTCTTGTGACTCACAAGCAGATTAGAGTTCTGCCTTGGCAGGTGAAAGGAGGGCAGGAGAAGGTTAGAGAGAGAAAAAAGAGAGAAAGATTCTGTTTATTGTAACAAGAGCTATGGGTCTCACAGTACTGCACATCTTATAAGACATGTGCCTTTGTTCTGGACTGGTTTTTTAAAGAATGTAAGGTAGGCTGGGTGCAGTGGCTCATGCCTGTAATCCTAGCTCTTTGGGAGGCTGAGGCGGGCGGATTGCTCGAGGTCAGGGGTTCGAAACCAGGTCTCTACTATAAATAGAAAAGAAATTAATTGGCCAACTAATATATATAGAAAAAATTAGCCGGGCATGGTGGCGCATGCCTGTAGTCCCAGCTACTCGGGAGGCTGAGGCAGCAGGATTGCTTGAGCCCAGGAGATTGAGGTTGCTGCTGACACCACGGCACTCACTCTAGCCTGGGCAACAAAGTGAGACTCTGTCTCAAAAAAAAAAAAAAAAGAAAAGAGAGAAAAGGAGTTGATGGGGTGCTGAATTTCAGGGCCGATGAAAGTCCCTGCAGGAGGTGGCAGATCTGTGAGGTCAGGGTGTCAGGTGGGTCATTGGTGTGCACCAGAAGCATCTATCCTGAGGGTGCAGCAGAGAGGAAAGTGGTGAGGCAGAGGAACAGTGTGGACATCCGCAGATGGCAAAGGCAGGCTGCAGACATTGTCAGCTGCCTGCTTGTTATCTCTGTC